TTACCAAAATAATAATAACAACAAAAAGAATAATAATAATGTAATACCATGAACTGGATGCTTTTAAGTGAATGTTTAGTCTCTAGGTAATTGGGGTTATAATGTATACATTTTTTGCAGCTATCCTGAATAGGGACTCTGAGCTAGGAGAGTCAGAAAAATACCCAAAATATACTTTATGTTAAAGGTGACAGTCACCATGATCATCAGCATCCTCAACAAAGTATACATACATACATACATACATACATACATACATACATACATACATACATAAGTTGCCATATAGACAAAAGATAGCTTCTGTCTTCTAGTTGCTTGCAATCCAATGGGAAGAGAAAATTTCCACACATGTGTAAGGCAAAAAAAAAAAAGCCCAGCTCCTCTATTTCCTGGTCCCTGCCTGTAGTGAGTCATTAGGCTGGGCTCATGCACATTTAGAGTAGTCTTCTTGACTGAATCAGGGATACTTCATTATAAACAATGATTAACTAGAATATAGACACCAACCCGAAAATGAGAGCTCATATTTTTATATGAATATATTTTTGTGTGTCTGTGTGTATACCTATATATAACCTATCTGTTGTGTATATATGGAAAATAACTCCCCAGAAATATCTTTCTCTTCAAATACATTTCATTCTTTTTAATCATCACTTCTCTCTTTATTTTCACCATATTCAGCATTAAGTAAAATACCAATTCTGAAAGGCAGATATGGAATGGGGAAACTGTGTATAAAACAATCAATAAACATTTATTTATCAAGTATCAGCCATAGGCCAAGCACTGTACTAAGTTCTGAACTCAGACCACTATGATAAATAAACATAGATTGAGAGGAGAGACTATTTACACATTAGATAGCTCAGGTGTGTAGAACACATTTGTGCTTAGCTAAGGAAGAATTTTCTCTTCAGCTGTCCAAGGATGATCCCTGCTCTCACTTCAGTCCTCTCCTCTAAGTGTCTCAAGGGTCTTTTCTTTCTACTTTTCAAATTGCAGGTGTTGTCTCCTTTCTGTTACTCTTCTCGACTCTTTCCTCTTTTCCTCTGTGCCACACCTACTACTAACTGAATAACTGTGTTATTTTGGGCAAGTCATTTAGCCCTGTAAGTCTACATTTCCCCAAGTGGTAATACTAAATGATGCCTGCATTCCTCCTACATTGATCTCTATATTTTTCTATTTCATATTTTCTATTTCATATTTTTTGTTTCTATTTTTACTATTTCAAATATTGGATTCCCTCATGCCATAGTGATAAACTGAACTTTAGCAATATCTTCTAAGTAATAAACTGATTTTTTTTCACAAAAGGAGGAAGGTGGGGGCAATGGAAAAAGGAACATTTCCTTTCTATCTCTATCTCTTATTTGTCCAAACCTAAGGGAAATATTTTCCTCTTCTATAAGGCATCTTTGTTTCATGGGTTTCCCATGAAAGGAAAGAGTCATCCTTCCAATACTGACATATTACCAGTGTTTTTATAGGGCACGGGAGCACCATTGCTCTGAAGAACTACAAATGAGTATAATGCAGTGGACAATGGAGAAGTACATGGTGAGTGTGAGCAGGCTTCAACACAGAGCCAAAGAGAAATTGCAAAAAAGAACAAGAGTGAAGGTTATGGTCAAGGAATTGCATGTCAAGAAGAGAAGATAGGCTGGTCATGGGTTTAGCAGACATAGCTCTAAAGACAGTACCTTCTTGTACCTCTTGGTGCAAGTTAAGTATTAAGACTACATGAGGCACTCTTAAGTCAATAGACATTTAATAAAGGAGGAAGTTTGCCTCACACTAAAAGAGCAAGAACATACAAAATTGATATTGCTTCTCTGGACATGGTCCTTCTCTTCTCCATCTGGAAACTTCATCTGGTCAATAAGTCATATGGGTATGGCAAATTACATGGTCACAAGCACCCACTAATGCTCTGGTTCCACTGGGCTGTGACCTTTATATGCCAGAAAGCCATGTCAGGGAATCTAGGACCAATCAGGTTTCCAAGGGAAGAGAGAAATCATAGAAGTTAAGTAATTAAAATTCCAGTCCTATCATGACATGGCAAGAGAAAAGTATAACATATAAACAGGCAGAGTACTCTATATTACCTTTAACATGTTGGGAAAAGGTAAAGAAGGTCTTCCTTCATCACATTGGACATACGCCCTATAAAGAACTTAGGAGAGTACATTGACAAGATCACAGGAGATATGATAGCATGTGTAAAATGTGACCTGCAAATGGGTAAGATCACAGAACTATTTGAGTATTTATAAGCAGACATTATTATATTTAAGGAACAACAGCAGATAAATGCTCAGTAACTAATATGACACCAAGTTTGGCACTGTGTCCAGTGCCTTAGAATGCTTGTTAGTAAGGTCCATGCTATATTTGGTACATTTCCCCACGTGTCATATGAAACACCCAACAGAAGAGGGTGTCCAGAGTCATCCTACCTCCTTGGGCATCTCTCAGGACTTTAGGGAGCCAGTTACCACCCTCCTCTGGATGCCATCCCTTTGTGGGAGCTATCCCAGACTCATATTAGTTTATGATTTGTCATATGGATTATCCAATTGGATAAATAGCAGGAAGTTCTGTTACCATTAGATTCCCCTTCTCAAGGCATAGTGGTATACTGATGACTCTAACCTGACTATTAGAAATGAATTAAACAAACAGTGATATACCCAGCAAGAATGTTCTTGAGCTGCCCCACCCCCAGGTAGGCCAAAAGTCAGAAGTTCAGTTCAATTGAGTCACTCCCCACCTAGGACAAAGACATTTGTCCTAGGTTTTCACTCACAGTAATGTCTCATGAGGATCAGTTTTCAGACCACTAGAACCTTCTCCTCTCTCAATGAATGGGGGTGAGAGGGAGGTATTGTGCAGAAACAAATGATGTCCACTTTGGGTCTCATCTCCATACAGCTACTGCTCCATGTCCCAGTTATTGGTTCCACTGAGCTCAATTTATTTATGTCTCTGATCCTCTCAAACCAAGCAAATAAGAGGAGGAATTTCCTTCCATGAGCCGGGCATCAAAATTCTATCCAGAATTTTGATATCTCTACCAGCAAGGTTTCTTCTCTCTCTCTTTTCATATTCTCAAGGCTGGTTTTCTCTGTCATGTCACAGAAATGGACAAGGTCCTTCCACCATTCTCACCCTTTAACTTTGTTCCTGTCAGGGAGGGCACCCAAGGAAGATACAACCAGGGTAGGCTATCACTAGTGTGATTGGGGTAAACAGTTATCAGAGGTGGAGAACTTACAGCCTTTAGGCCACATGTGGCCCTCTAGATCCTTAAGTGTGGCCTTTTGACTGAATCCAAATTTTAAAGAATTTTGGGTTTATTCTGTAAAACAGGGATGTTAATAATAGCTCCTACCATCCAGCATTAATATGAGGATAAAATAAGATGTTTATGTTAAGCACTCTGCACACTTTAAGGTACTCTATACATACTAGTGGTTCTTGGCACATAATAGAGGCTTAATAAATGTTTATTGATTGAAGGCATTGTTTTGGATGATAGAATTTTGTTTCTTTTTTATTGGTGGGGGAAGCAAGAAGAGTGGACTTGCAATTTCATTAGTATAGGGAAATCCCAGTGCAGATCAGCACCTGCTTAGCAGCCTATAATCTTAAAGGACTGTCATGGGCCCTGAGAGCTTAAGTCAATTCTCTGAGTCACCAAACCAGTATATGTTTTGGGTAAGGCTCGAACCCAGATCTTCCTGACAAGGAGGCTGAATTCTTATCTGCTATGCCATTCTTCTAGGGGTATAAAGACACAAATTAGTGCCTTCAAGAAACTGACATTGTACTGGGAATAGAAGGTATGTTTCCAGCTGAGTTTTGAAAGGAATGGAAAAGAAAAAAAAAGTCACACCATGACTAAAAAAGCCTTTCAAGTATAATCATCTGAGGTGAATCCAATGAGAACAATCTAGTGTCTGTCAGTGGGGATAGAGCTGTGGTCAGCTGGAGCCCATGATGCATTTCAGCTGGAATGTGACAGGCAATTGGCAGCCACTCTAGGTTTCTGAAGACAGTGAAGATGAAATAACAAGAAATCTTGTTTCTCTACCACTTTGAGATTGACAAAGGGCTTTGCTCTGGGTAGCCTTCTATGGTAAAGAAAATACTATTATCCCCATTGTGTGCATATGTGTGAATACAGGTATGTATATGTATGTATTTATATGTATGTATATGTGTGCATACATGTATATGAATATATGTACACCTTACAAAGTATTTATAAAGAATACAATGCATATACACACACACACACACACACACACAGATACATTGCACATTTTTTTTCCCAGATGAAGAAAGCAAGGCTTAGAGAGCTAAGTGACTTGCCTATAGTCACCCTTACCAGTAATTAAGGTAGACCTTATTATCATTTGCAGGATAGACACAGAAGCAAATAAAAATTATTTCATCACCATGTGAAGACAAGGAATTTAGAGCCCAGGACAGAGTCTATTCCCTTGGCTATGGGTGTGCATATGAGAACAAAAGAAAAGTAAAAGTAAAATCATAGTGAAGTGAATTAAATGCTAGACTTGGAATCAGGAAGAGCTTGGTTCAAATATTGCCTCAAACACCAGTTGTTTGACACTGGAAAAGTCACTTGATCTCTCATATCCTTAGCAGCCCTACTGTTAAATGAGGAAGCTGGCCTCCAAAATAGCTTTCAATTAACTATGAAATATTGCAGAGGAACAATTAACAGGGCTTAGGGATGAATGAACTAGGTAGTGGGGGAAGAGAGAATGAAGAAGATGCAAATCAGTACTAAGTGATTGTATTTGTATCCCCAGTGCTTATTAGAGTGTCAAAATATCACAAGGAAATAATTAAATATCTTTTTCCCTCCTTCATACCATCTTATGTGTCTATGTCACAAATGGCAGTATTGGTTATGCTTAATATTGATTACTGACATTGATCACTTCAGAGCTGAATTCCCCTTACGCAGCCTCTGGGTTATGAAGCATCTTCTTCAGAGCCCTTCTCAGTTTTGAGTTGTTCAGGATCAGGAAGGCAGGATGAATGGAGAGGCTAGCATAGGTCAATACCTCCCATACCCAAAACCGAGAGCTACAAACTGAAAAAGGGTAAACTGTTATGAGGGTAATGATAAGAGGCAGAACATATGATGTACAGAGGATGAGAAAGAAGAAAAATGACTTCACGGTTGTAATATGGACCTGCATACTCTGATCCTGAGGACAAGCACTGTGGTGTTGCATGTTCCCCAAGTGTCGGTACAGGGAGGAAATGAGCAAGATAATGGAGACCAGGAAGAAGAGGAAAGGTATTAACAAAATAAACATTTGGAGAGGCAAGAAAAAATGCATATGTAATTTGCGTCTCATATCTTCCAAAGTGGTCTTTTCTGAGTAATTCCCAGTGACTGGTGGTTGTAAAATAGGATATGTCTTTACAAAATATGAGATGATTATCAAAGTAGATATCAGTAGGGACCACAACAGTAGCTGGGGGACACATCGGGAAATTCTCCATTTCAGCCAGAGGAAGATTGGGTGAGTGAAGGATGAAATTTTCACACAGTAGAAAACAGCAAGCCAAGTGGTGAGCCAGAATGTGGTCGTGTTGGTAAAATTCCAGAAAATGTCAAGGTATAGACTTCCATCACTTGGGGAGAAATATGTGAAGAAATCATTAAGAACTGCTGCCCACTGTAGAAAGAAGCGGGAGATGCTCAGGCTGGCCAGGATCATGTCACCATGGGGCAGAGTCGAACATCGCATCCACTCCCTGCTCAGCACTACGATAATGAAACCATTTTCTACAATTGCCACTGTAGACTCCAGGAGAAAGAAGATCATGAAGAAGAGAATGAGTAGACTGGGCATTCTTTCTCTACTGAGTATCTCCTGGGACTCAGAGGCTCCAGGACACCTTACCCAGTAGAGAGCCTACAGTAGGCCAGACTCTCCAGGGATTCAGCAGCTCTCTTTGCTTTATGCAGGAGCCCAGCTGGAAGAGAAAGTGGAGCAGCAGGAAGCCTCTATGTGTGCCTAATGTAGATTAGAAAAGAATCCTACCACGTCCATGGATGCAAATCTGACATAGATCATTCACTGAACCCAGTTTCTATTTGTTTATCTTATCCGTTTGTCTCAGACCACAGCCAGGGCCAAGGAAATATCAGGACATAGGCTATTGATCCCAGAAACTTTCAAGAATCCCTCTCCAAAATGTACACTTGTTCCCTGCCCTGCTTCCCTTCCTTAAGACTAGCTATAAGGCTCCCCCAGATCTTTCCCCTTTCCTATTCTTGTAGTGATCCTCTTACCTACTGCCTTTCTCCCCGACCCACTATTAAATGTCCTCCTTTCTGTAAAATGCACTTAGTTGTCCATTTATGCCCTGGATTCACACATCTGTTTTGCTCTCTATGAGTGGTGTATCAAGCCCCACTTTGTACATGACAGATTGACATTGAACCACTCATTACATCTGTTTGGACCCTGCCATTCAACCAGTTCTGAATTGCTCTAATTTCACAATCATTCAACCCACATCTTTCCATCTTTTCCACAAGAATAGAATTAATTAACTCCTTGGCATTAATTTGTCCCTAATTCCAGTCAATAGCAGGGCCCTGAGGGAATGTAAAACAGGATAGGTGAGTTTCTATGAAAGGAAAAGGAAAGAGATAGGATAGGTTACTACTCAGAGAAAAAGTATCCCATGAGTTCAAGTACAAGAGTAGGGACGGGAGGTACTCTGAGAAGTTGGGGATAAGGAATTGTGAAGGTTTTGAGTAACTGAAATGGAGGAGGCGGAAACTATGTCTCTTGAATCTTTTAATCATCAAAGTTATAGCAACCATATGAAGGAATACTTGAGGTAAAGAGACAAATCTGACTTGAGGTCTTCCAGGAAGCACTTAGCAGGTGAAACTTTGTTACCTAGGAAAAGAACCTTTCCTGAAAAATTGTAAGTTGAGATTTTGACTCTCTCTTCAACCTGAAACTTCTGATCCTAACCTTTGACCATCTCTGCGTAAGCATAATGTAGCTATATGTCTAAGTGTTTCAACTGCAGCTTTTCTGAATTTTCACCCTCAAGGAGCGGTCTCCTTGGCATAGGTATGGAGACATATTGGTTGCTATTGTGCTCACAGATTTTTGGAGAGCCACCTGGGAGGTCTGAATACACTGCGGAATAGTGGCCATTTCAGTCTTGTTGAGCAAGCATAATTCAAAGTCTCTTGTAGGAGAATTCTGGTAGAAGAGCCCTACATTCTGGCAGGAGTTGTAGTGTTCTGCCAAGACAGCTTTGGAGATTTACATTTAACAGGGCTCATATCTTAACTAAGGCCATTGTGAGACTTTACTGTATGTTTTTGTTTTTGTTTTGTCTCTGTCTTTGGAATGTGGTCTGTATTTGCAAGGTGGAGGGAACTGAAAAAGCAGAGCGAGACTTCCTCAGGCTGTTTTAAAAAGGTAAATGTGAGTTTTGGAGAGGAAAATCAGGGAAAAAGGTTTTCTTTCTGAGCACTTCCTTGAAGTAAAAGGCCTAGTTTTTACCAAAGGGCCCAGAGCTGAAGCCCGCAAGGACTGATGAAAGAAAACTACCTTGGATTTTTTTCAATGAGCAAGTGAAATAAAATTCAGATTCATCTAAAGTGAAACTAAATAGCCACAAAAGTGATTTTTTTCTGTGCTCAAAGAAAGGAAGACAAAAGGAAAAGCCAGTGACAGAGGTGGCAGGGAAATAATTGCCTTGAATGAATTTAAATGGGAATACTTACAGGGATCCTTGTAAAATCCTAACTGAGAGATGAGGCTAGGTAGAGACTGGAAAAAAACTATACAAAAAAAAATCTCCTTTGGACATATAAGAGATAGGACTTGATTGCTTTAGTCAGATGAACATTTTACACTTGATTGATAGATTCAAAGCCTATGCTGGTGAGAGGGCTTTCAAATACATATTGCCCTCATTTTTTTTTCAGTGCTTCAATAGTTCTTATTGGCATTTATTTATTTGTTTATTCATTCATTCATTTATTTGGGTTATTTTTTATTTATTTAGTATTTTATTTTCCCCAGTTGTATGTAAAAACAATTTTTAACATTTGTTTTTAAATTTTTATGTTCCAAATTCTCTCCCTTCCTCCTTCCCCACAACTCCTCATTGAGAAGACAAGCAATTCCATATAGCTTATACACTTGTAGTCAAGCAAAACATATCCATAATAGTCACATTGAGAAAGAAACCATGGACAAAAAACAACAACAAAAAAGTATGCTTTAATATGTATTCAGAAACCATCAATTCTTTCTTTGGGGATGGATAGTATTTTTCATCATAAGTCCTTCAGAGTTGTCTTGAATCTTTTTATTGCTGAGAATAGCTAAGTCATTCACAACTGATCATCATACAATATTGCTGTTACTTTTTACACAGTACATTTCACTTTGCATCAGCCCACGCAAGTCTTTTCCAGGTTTTTCCGAGAGCACCCTGTTCATCATTTTTATAGTACAATAATATTCCATTATAATCACATACCGTAACTTGTTCAGCCATTTCCCAATTAATAGTCATCCCCTCAATTTCTAACCCCTTGCTTCCAGAAAAGAGCTGCTATAAACATTTTTGTACACATGATTCTTTTCCTTTTTGTTTTTTATCTCTTTTGGGATATAGACCTAATACTGGAAAACCTAAGTCAAAGGGTATGCATGGCTTTATAGCCCTTTGAGCATAGTCCCAAATTGCTCTACAGAATGTTTGAATCAGCTCACAACTCCATTAACAATGCATTAATGTCTCATTTTCCCCATTTGCCCTCTAATATTTGTTATTTTCCTTTTCTGTCTATTAGCCAATCAAATAGGTATGAGGTAGTACCTCAGAATTACTTCAATTTGTATTTCTCCAATCAATACTGAGTTAAAGTATTTTCATATGACTATAGATAGCTTTGATTAATTCATGTGAAAACCTATCACATCTTTTTTTTCACTTATCAATTGAAGAATGGCTCTTATTTTTATAAATTTGACTCAGTTCTCTATATGCTTGAGAAATAAGGCCTTTGTCAGAAAAGCTTGTTTCATTTTTTTTTCACGGTTACTATTGCTAGCTATATTTCCTCTCCATCCTATCCTCCACCCCATTTATTCTATTCTCTTTCCTTTCACCCTCTTCCTCCTCAAAAATGTTTTGCTTCTGACTACCCCCTCCCGATCTGTCCTCCCTTCTATTGCCATCCTTCTGTTATCCCCTTCCCCTCCTACTTTCCTATAGGGTGAGGTAGATTTCTATATCCAGTTGCATGTGTATGTTATTCCCTCTTTGAGACAATTCTGATGAGAGTAATGTTCACTAACTTCCCCTCCTCTTTTGCCCTCCACTATAAGAGCTTTTTTCTTGTCTCTTCTGTGTGAGAAAATTTATCCCATTCCAACTCTCTTTTCTACTAGTACATTCCTCTTTCACCCCTTAATTTTATTTTTTTAGATATCATCCCTTCATATTCAACTCACATCTGTGCCCTCTGTCTATATATATATATACCTTCTAACTACCCATTAGAAAGGTCTTATAAGTGATATATCATGCTCACAGGCAGGAATGTAAACAGTTTAACTTTATTCAATTATTTATGATTTCCCTTTTCTGTTTACCTTTTTATGCTTCTCTTGAGTTTGTATTTGAAGGTTAAATTTTCTATTCAGCTCCAGTATTTTCATCAAGAATGCTTGAAAGTCCTTTATCTCATTGAATATCTACTTTTTCCCATGAAGGATTATAGTCAGTTTTGCTGGGTAGGTGATTCTTGGTTGTAAGTCTAGCTCCTTTGCCCTCCAGAATATCATATTCCAAACCCTCTGGTCCTTTAACATAGAAGCTTGACTGTGGCTCCACCATACTTAAATTGTTTCCTTCTGGCTGCTTGAAATATTTTCTCCTTGACCTGGGAACTCTGGAATTTGACTATAATATTCCTGGCAGTTTTCATTTTGGGATCTCTTTCAGGAGATGATCAGTGTGTTCTTTCAATTTCTATTTTACCCTCTGATTCTAGAATATCAGGTCAGTTTTCCTTGATAATTTCTTGAAAGATGACGTCTAGGCCCTTTTTTTGATCATGACTTTCAGGTAGTCCAATATTTTTTAAAATTATATCTCCTGGATTTATTTCCAGGTCACTTGTTTTACCAATGAGATTTCACATTGCTTTCTAAGGCAATAACAAACTACGAATATAAAAGAAGGGGGGAAAAAGTAATGAAAACTTTGTCACTCTATTGAACTCCAATGAATCAGTTATTAGCTGTCACTAAAAGCTTTCTGCTTCATCCAATATGCAACTTTTATCTTCTTTCTAAACTTCTGAAACCTAAAGATTTGCCCAGATTGATCACGTTTTCAACCATTTTCTCTAGGCTTTCCTTCTCCTGCATCTATTGTGTGACCTTCAGTAAAAATTTGCACTTTTCTGAGTCCCAGTTCCTTCATTTGTAAAAATAAAAGGCATCAACTACATGATCTCTAAAGTGTGTTCCAGCCCAAATTCTATTAACCTGAGACCTAGAATCTTGCAAATGAGGTGTTCATGAAACATTGTGAGTTGGACAACCCTTTTTTGGTTAGGAACCTGTGGGAAAGAGTGGGAAGGAAACTGAGGGAAAGATGGTAAAGATATACCTCACCCTAGGAGAGTATGCCCTAGATTATACCCTGGAGAGGTCTCATCTCTCTCTGAAGGAATTAATTCAATTCAATAAACATTCATTAAGTGCTTACTATGTGCCAGGCACTTTGCTAAGCACTGGGGATATAAATAAGAAAACGACAATCCCTGCCTCAATGAAGGAGCTTGCAATCATGA